TTTTAGGACGGATAGCTCTCAACTGTCCTCGACTGACTGAGTTAGTGGTGTGTGCTAATGGTCTTCAGCCTCTTGATAATGAACTTATTTGTGTTGCTGAACACTGTACAAACCTAACAGCCTTGGGCCTCAGCGAATGTGAAGTCAGCTGCAGTGCCTTCGTCGAGTTTGTAAGACTATGTGGGAGAAGGCTAACACAGCTCTCTATAATGGAGGAAGTTTTGATCCCTGATGAGGATTATAGCGTAGATGAAATTCACACTGAAGTCTCCAAATACCTGGGAAGAGTATGGTTCCCTGATGTGATGCCTCTCTGGTAATTGGCTGCCAAAGATTCCGAAATTGTTGTTGTTTTTTTAGATCAGTATGATTAGCTGCTTTCTATCTAAGCAAATGTAAATTTTAAAATGTGTTGCTGACATATTTTAGGTCAAATATTTGATTGTTTGCAGTGTCTTAATGGATTGCTGCAGAAACATTTGGAAAAAAATAAGAAATTTGAAAATCAAGGAATTGCTGTAAATAGGGCACAAGCCCTGTATGTGGATTAGATGGTTGATATGCCAAAACCTGCAGATGGTTTCTAAGTAGATTTCTCAGCTTTCCTTGAAGGCATATCGTAGCTTGCTAAGTAAATGTGTAATATTGAACTTGGATTCCGTAAGTTATGTCATTTACTTTATTACATTGTTTTATTTGATTCTATTTTATCTTGGTATTAATGTATTTTATAAAATATAAAATATTTTAGAGCTTATTTAATTATAACATTTTTAGCACTATCTGAGATCATCTTGTGATTCAATAAATAACTTCTAATTTCCAAGGTACTTCAGATTCTACTTTATTATATTGAGAGATAATGGACAGTCGATTAAAATTTTAAAATACTAACTCATTTCATAATGATACTGATATGAAAAGAGAAGAGACACTCATTCTGATTGTTAGTTGGTACACTATTTGAATAAAGCAGTAAATGCCGCAGGATGTGTTTGGGAGGGAGTCAGCATTTGCTGCCTCCTGCTATGGATCTGGAACTGTGTCAGATCCTCTGCATAAGTGATCTTAGAATTTAATTAGCAACACAGTTAGAACTCCTTAGTGGCTGCTTATTGTCTTGAGGGTGAAGATCTAGCCTTAAAATAACCCACAAGGCCCTGCAAGGTCTGGTCCCTCCCTGCTTCTTTTGCCTCATTTCACATCAAGCTGCCCCTTGCCCTTTGGTTCCCATTTCCTCTCAGTTCCTCAGAACTGCCCTGCACCCTCTAGTCACAAGGAATTGACTCGTACCTCTCTCTGCCTGGCTTACTCTCTGTGTTCCTCAGATCTTTCCTCTAGCTGTATGTCCTTGATCATGGAAGCCTTCCTGGACACCCGGCCCATTCCCCGCTTATAGGTCAGATCCACGTTGTGCACTCTGTGCTGTGCACTCAGCACCCTGGCTTTACTGTGCGGCACTTATCCCTGTTATAATTCGTCACTTACTGGTCTGATTATTACCAGTTTGTTCCATTACACTGTAAACTCCATCAGTGCAATATCATTGCTGGTTTTTGCTCCCTAGAATCGGCCATGCTAGTGGTTTTATCCCCAGAATCGGCCGTGCTAGTGGTTAGCACATAGTAAGCTCTCAGTAAATTTTACTTGAGTACTTTGGTTTTCAAGCTTGTTCCACGCAGTTCACCCCACAGTATCTTAAATTTCTAAGAAATCAACTAAAGTAAAAAGAGACAAATATGTTCATCACTTTCCAGTTTGGGATATTAGGAAAAAATTACAAGTTTTTTTTTGTTTTTTGTTTTTGTTTTTGTTTTTTGTTTTTTGTTTTTTACCTATTAAGCAATTAGAATACATTGTGATGTGTAAATGGAGGTTTAAAAAAATAGCACTTTTATATCCCTGTATTTAGAGACTATGTTTGTGTGTACATTCTCACCACTGTGCCATGTTATTTCTCACTGTAACGTCTGTAAGGCTTCTCATATCTACCTATATGTTCCTCCCTCTCAGAACAGTATTGCTACATTAGTAAGTACTCCATAAATGCTAGTGGAGCTGATTTTACTGGTTAAAAAATAAAACCAATTTCTTCAGGACTGGGGTGGTATTACAATTACAGGTAGTATAATTTATATCTTAAGATTTCAGGAGGATATGGAAGCATCATATAATAGGGGACTTAAAACTGGATTAGAGGCTGGGTGTGGTGGCTCACGCCTATAATCCCAGCACTTTGGGAGGCCAAGGTGGGTGGATCAAAAGGTCAGGAGTTTGACACCAGCCTGGCCAATGTGGTGAAACCCTGTCTCTACTAAAAATACAGAAATTAGCCTGGCGTGGTGGCAGTCACTTGTAGTTCCAGCTACTTGGGAGGCTGAGGTAGGAGAATCACTTGAACCCGGGAGGCAGAGGTTGCAGTGAGCCGAGATCGCACCACTGTACTCCAGCCTGGGCGACAGAACGAGACTCCATCTCAAAACAAAACAAAACAAAACAAAAAACCTGATTAGGATAACAGGACAAACAAATAGCCTGATAGAGATGGAGTTGGGGATCAGAGCAGTGGTGGACATTCTGAAGGGATAAGCCTCTGGTCTCACCTGGGATCACTCTACCATGATATGTTCTAGGAGGGGTTGGGAGTATACATGCCTGAATGGTCAGGTGATAGAATGCCAGTGGAGTTTGCACTGAGGATAATGGAGCAAAACAGGGACTAGAAAAGGGAGGTTGGGGGTGAGTTTTTCCCCATTGTCGACTAGTATGGAGAGAGGATGAGTACCATTGGCCTCTTCTACATAGAATGAGAAGTTGCTGCTCTCAATCGTGCTTTTTAGTGGCCCAGTAGTTGAACCTAGTGAACTAAGCACTATAATGAATCTTAGAGCAAAACTCAGAGTAAATCTAAGTTCATGAACTCATGTAAATTACCTTGATTGGCCTGACTTACTGGGTAAGTAAATGGAAGAGTAAAACATTTCTACAACAGCCAAAAACAAGACAAAAACTTACAGAGTATTTTTAATGTTTTATCTAATGAAAATGTCTTTACTTTGGAAGTCTGTGAAAAGTACTGTTTATTTAAAACTAGTGGATTCTAGATAAAGGAATTTGACATTAGATGAATTTCAAACTTTAGTCTTTGGAGAATATTTTAGTTCTGTAAGCAAACTTTTTCATATTAAAAACATTTACATTTGTTAGGTGATTCTGGAGAAGTTTGGATAATTTTGTGGGCAAAAATTTGGTAAACAGAGAGAGTGGGGGAAAGGTCTTACTGTTTGTGCTGAAGAAACGCAAAAATAGGATGCTCATATCTTTTGTTTTTCCTTCCTTGTGATCCTTGCTGGCCTCATTTGTATTGTACCGAATATGGGAGAGGTGAGGCAGGAGACAAGCCAGTTTTTCATAGGTATTTATTATTATGAATAACATGTCACAGAGGCAATAGGCATGTGATTACTGTAATATGCCACTGAGTGTGATAAATGTCAAATGCATGCAAGGATTCTTCCCTTTGTAGCCTGGCCTCTTAGATTGGCCACTTATCTCCTTCTTTTTCTTCTATTAAATTTATCTCTTGCAGATAAAACATTTTCAAAGTAAATATTGATTTTATTCACATTATTAATGTGTAGCTATCAAACTTGACAGAATATTTAATATCACAATTTTTGAAGTGTATATTATCATCATGGTTACTAATGAAAAGTAAGTTTCTCCGTACTATTACCCCTCGTCATTCAAATCTTTATAATATTTTTATACTTAAGTCAAATGTTTTGACATCCAAACCTAAAAGACAAGCAGGAAAAAAACACGGATTTGTTGTTGCACTAGAGGGCGCCGTATTCCAGTTCTTCCTGAGAAAGAAGTCCTTTGGTCCAAAGTTTGCATTTCCATTGAGCAGATGCTGAGGGAAAGGCAATGTCCCTGCTCTACCTTGAGGAATTTCACCATTCCAGGTCATGAGTCTGGTTTTTAAAACAATATCCATATCCACCTGTGTTTTGCCTCCTAAATAATCAGAAGGATGATTATTTAGAAAACTAAGCATAGATTTTGTTGTTCAAATATTTCACAGCTTCTTTTAAAATTGCCTTTAAGAGCTGATGTGGTATTTCCTTTTTGTCTGTCCTCAATGGAGTACAGCATTTATTTTTTGAAAGCCAAATTTCTGGAAACAACCTAAAGTTATTTGGTACCAAGGAGAGGCATATTCAAATCAGATAGTGCTAGATATAGTTTGCCATTGAAAGTAATGGCAAAACCTGTGATTACTTTTGCACCAACCTAGTAGATCTAAGAAGGTGCTAATTGTATGACGTAGATTCTCAACTACCTGAGAGTCATCAATCATGATAACTCTTTCTTCCTGGCCACCCACTGCAAGTCTTATTGCTTCTGTGACATGTTATTCATAATAATAAATGCCCATGAAATCACCTCCCAACTGCAAAACTGTAGCACTGGTAGTAACTTAAATCTTTCTGTGTGATCCTCCCTATCTAGTTATGAGTTAACTAGAGTTCATTATTTTCTTGCTTCCCTCTTTATATGATTTTGTTATATAAAAAGGAAATTGTATTTTAATTTTATAAAAAGAATATCATGTGTTATGTGATCTTCTGGACTTTTGTAAACTTAAAATTACATTGCCATGATTCATTCAGGTCATTATGTTTAGCTGAAGTTCATTTATTGTGACTGCTGTCAACTATTACATTCTATAACTTTGAGATTATTTATTGATTTCACTGTTGATGGTCATTTGGGTCATTGAAGGTTTTGCTGTGAAAAATAGTGATACCATGAACGTTCTCGTACATATGTCCAGATACATAAACGCAACCATTTCTCTAACAACAAACTTCAGTTAATTATGTTTTCCTCTAAAAATCTACACATAAGAATGTAATCGTTCGCTGGCATTTTCTGCATTCCAAACAAATTTAAGCAGAAATTCATGAAGAAATTTTCCAGAATGATTAGTTCAACGTATTCATTTTCTTACCAACTGGCTAAACTCTTAAGAAGCCAGAATTATTTCTGGTGCTTTGGACATTTGTATGGTCTTGTTTCCTCTTAATACCTGTTGTCAATGTGACTAACACAGAATAACATAGCTATAATACAATGATGTGTAGAAATAAGTAGCTGTAATATGCATACGACTAGATGAAGTTGACAGGCCCAGTTCCATGAGACACTTCAGATAAAGGTAGGCCTCATTCTCATTCTAGTCCTTCCTGTAGTGCAGCCTCACTGAAATCTGGAATATGTTTTCCTGGACTGCCATCATTCATAATCATGTGGGCGAGTGTGGATGGAAATACCAGCAAATCCTTTATTATCCAGGAAAGCAGCTCTCTCTACAACCAATATGATAAACCTAAGGATACTGCTGAGAGTCTACTACCTAAACTCAACGTATTCATTGAATATGTATTGAATGTATACTAAATCTAGCATTGTAAACCACTCACTGTTCTTGTACCATAGAAACACTTTCAGGCTTTTTCTTATTTTCAAGCAGAAAGGTTGCTAGTTTTAGAGGTGTCAAAAATGCAGCCTGGCCCAGCTTAAGTTCCCTTGTTTATTTATCTTAGATCTTCAGGACAGAGAAATCTAAAAAACAAAACCACTCAGATTCCTTGGGTGACGGAAAGATCAAAGAGCCTGAAGAAACCAGTTCACTCGAACATCAGCGTGACAATGAGTTAAAATCAAAATGTTTTCTTTCTCGCACGTATCATGTTTCTATTTAAACTCAAATTTCCTTTTTTAATTAAAAAAATTTTGTGGGTACACAGGTGTATACATTTATGAGGTACGTGAGATGTTTTGATATAAGCACGCAATGTATGGTAATCAAGTCCTGGAAAATGGAGTATCCATCCCTTCATGCATTTTTCCTTTGTGAACACAAATTTCTTGAAGAGCGGGGTATGCATCCAGGTTTTTAAGATGACTTTTTATTTTGAAGATGTGACCATTGGCCTTCCATTTACAGGTATGCAGTAGGGTCACTCAAGTCACAGTTTTCAATGTGCACGTGCGACTGTATGCCAGGATAAACTTTCTGCAAGGGCAATAGAGTTCCAAGTTTTTCTCCCTTCTTAACAGGACCTTTATACTTAATTGGCTTAATGTAGAACATTTTGACACAAAAACCTAAAAGAAAATAAGTATAATTATTTATCTGGGCTTCAGTAACCTTGAATCTGAAATTTAAAAAATAACAGATGGACAAAAAATAAAAAATAAAGTTGAATGAACTCCAGAGAGGAATAGATGAAAATGACAGAATGATATTAAAAAGGAAGACTAAATTACAAGATGCCAAAGGAAGAATAGATTCAAATGAAATGCTAATAAAGGCATTGAAGAATAATAGCAGGAAAATACTAGCTAGTTAGAAAAGGTGAACCCTGAACAAAGTCAGCTCCAAGACATATTCTGATGAAATTATTGGACTTTAAAGGAAAATGGAAATAACTGGAACAAAAATACAAACCTTGCTAAATATCAAAAGAACTAAAAAGACAAAGACCCAAGTAGAGAAATAGAGTGCAATACAATAATTATAAAATAAAATGATCGTGTTGGGTACAAATATAGGAGTCATCTGTAAATGTGAATGGCCTTATCTTGTCTATTAAAAAATGTCCCATTGGGTTGAAAAGCAAACCCCAATTTAATGCTATATGGAATAAAACACAGCGATTGAAAAGGCTGAAAGTGAAGAGCTGGACAAAGATTTGCCAAGCAATAAGAAAGCAAGGGCTATCGTCCTGTTACCAGAGTGGAAATCAGGCCAAAAAGCATTGAGACAAGACAAAGGAAGATAATGTAAGAAGGTAAATGCCCCAAGTCACAGTGAAGATACAACAATTACATCTATCCATGCACTAAATAACAGGTCATCTATATAAAGCAGAGACTACAAGAGACGCCAGGAGACATAGATAGAAACCCACCAATAATAGACTTTAATACAGTACTGGCACTGCAAACCGGTCAAGTGAGCATACAAATAAGGCTGTAAAATTATGCTGTCCGATATGGTAGCCACTAGCCACATGTGGTTATTCAGTACTTGAAAGGTAGTTAATCTGAATTGAGATATGCTTTAATGGTAAAGTACACAGTGGATTTGAAGACTTAGCATTTAAAAATGTAAAATATCTCAATACTTTTTGTATTACATATTGATATACTTTGAGTTAAATAAAATATTAAAATACCATGTTTTTTTACTTCAATGTGGCTAATAGAAACTACTCGCTCTGTGTCCCAGGCTGGAGTGCAGTGGCGGATCTCGGCTCACTGCAGGCTCCGCCTCCCGGGTTCACACCATTCTCCTGCCTCAGCCTCCCGAGTGTCTAAGGGACTGCAGGCGCCTGCCACCACACCAAGCTTATTTTTTGTATTTTTTAGTAGAGACGGGGTTTCACCGTGTTAGACAGGATGGTCTTGATCTCTTGACCTCGTGATCCACCCGCCTCGGCCTCCCAAAGTCCTGGGATTACAGGCATGAGCCACCACGCCCCGCCGAAAATTTAAAATTATATACATGACTTCTGTATTATTTCTAGTGGATAGTTCTACTGTTGAAGAGCTAAAACTCCCATCAGGTAGGTTTTATGAATAAATATTAAACAAAAGATGTGCAAGATCTCTACGCTGAAAACTACAACAACCATTAATATAATAGTGAAGGAAGACATAAGTAAGTGGAGGATATAATATGTTCATTGATTGGAGGACTCACTAGTTTAAAAATATCAGTTCTCAATTTGATCTGTATATTTACTGTAGATTTAGTCAGAGCCCTGGCAGGATTTTTGGTGGAAATTAGCAAACAGATTCTGTTTGGAAATGCAGATAACCAAGAATTGCCAAGGCAGTCTGAAAGAAGAAGAAAGTCAATTCCAATTCTGCGTTCTGGAACTGGGGAAATAGCCTCTTGGTAGTTTGGAGGATGCACTGGGCTCACTGTAAGATGGAGTGAAAAGCTCTGTAGCACTGTAAGATAGCTAGTGAAAAGCTACATTGACCACCTGACTATAAGCCCCTACTTTATAGTCTGACTGGTGAATCACAGTGGCCTTTTAGATCTTCAGGACTTAGTGTCAGTTTTGAGCAAGTGTCCAATAATCTCTGAAGAGCCTAATTATTTCTTCCCCAATGTGCTGTCATCCTGCTAAACCATTGCAAGTCCCTTTGGGGATGGCTAGAAGTAAGGTTTACAGTATAAATTTTTGGCTGCACGGCAGGACCCTTACGCAGAAGGACTGAGCCTCCCTTTCTTTCAAGAGGCTCTGGGACTGAACTAATTCAAGCCTGGGAATTTATTGGGAATTGGAACCCATTATTGTGATGACTGAAGTCAGCATTTTGTTCATCAGACCTGGAGCATTTCCATTCACACAAGTCCAATAAGGCTTTAGTTGGCTGCTCATCTATTCAGTTCTAGGGTCACCGTGATTACTAGCCAATGTCACAAATCTCTGCGGTTTAGACGAATCTGATTACTACTGCTCTCACCGACCTTGGTATTAACTGTTAAGCACCACTTCAGAGGACCCAGTTCAATGGCAGAAGTTTCCCTTGCGACGTTGGGCCTAAAGAGGACAACCACTATGTAGCTCCTGAAGGATGTGGGTTCCCTCACAAGATGCCTCTCACAGCCTTGGTGAGGAGAGTCTCCTCTGGACTCACTCCCAATAGGAATGCATATATATGTTCATTAAAAGGTATAAGAAAGTTCGTAGCCACAATTTTATAATCGCCTAAAACTGGAAACTACCCAAAAGTCCGTCTGAGGAAGAATGGATAAATGGATGAAAATATATACATATAATGGAATATCATGCATCAGAAAAAAATGTGGGTACAAAAACATTAATCACGTAATCATGATGTGGAATGAAAGAAGACCACAAAAAAGAGTGAATGCTGTTTAATTCTATACCATTTTTAGAAACAGGAAGAACTAATACATGGTGTTAGAACTTGGGATGGTGATTATCTTGCTGGGAATAATGACTAAATGGTAGCACAAGGGATCTCTAGGATGTGGGTGATGTTCTTTTTCTTGATCTGGGTGCTGATTACACAGGTATATTTGCTTTTTGAAATTCATGGAGCTACACATGGATGTATTGTGCACTTTTATGTGTATATTTTATACATTGGTGGAGTAACCGAACAACAAAGCCAATATCTGGAGTACCAGGAGACCTAGCTTTACCTAAAACTTAGAAGCTTTCAAAAACATTTCACATTCGACTCTTGGAGAAATGCCAGCATTTATGATTTGTGGGATTTGAGTAAATGCAAGTATCTATCCATTATGGTTAGCATTGCTGAAAGTGGCTTCGTTTATAGATTGTTAAGCAAAACCACATGGGTCACAGGAAGGAATGCCTCCAGTCAGCTGTGGGGTTTCTTGGAGTGTGTGTGTGAAGCAGAAGTTTTCAGAGAAAATGGTGAAACATCCTTGAAAGTGCCTCAGCTGGGAGAGGATCAGAAAAAAATATCTATCGGGTACTATGCTTATTACCTGGGTGGCAAAATAATCTGTACACCGAATGTCTGTGACATGTGGTTTACCTATATAACAAACGTGAACAGGTACCCCTGAACCTTAAATAAAAGTTTTTCAAAAAACGCATCAGCTAATTTGGGTACACTCTATATTCTTTCTGTTCTAGGTTGTATCATTTTGAAAGAAGTACACAATCTCTATGTATGGAACCTGCACTAAATAAATAAGCATCAACATCTCCAGTAGACACCCCAGGTATAGACTCCACCTCTCTTACCTCTTCCAGATATTCGAACACCATTATTGATAGCATTTTTGTTTTGATAAGGTTTCTCCTGGCCCACAATCATTCCAGTGAATGGTGCATACACAGTAGATCCAGCAGAGCACAAGATGTCCACACCCTGGTGAGGCCTCTGACTTCTAGGATGTAAATAAGAATGAACAGACTGAGGAGCTGCCCTGGGGAGCTTTACTGCCCGGGAACATGGTGTTAGCCGACTGTTTCCAGACGAGGTACCAAAGCTTGAAGCTGGCAGAACATGTTGGGATGTCCCAGGATGCCTCACTCTGTTTAGGCCAATTTTAACCTCCCTCCCCACAGGTGCTAATAACCATGTTATAAAGACGAAAGCATTTAAAATGGTACTTGGTACACAGTAAGCTTTAAACAAGTATTAACCACTATTATTTTATGGCATTTGGGGGGAATGAGGCAATCCATGTAAGTGCATTTTCTAGATACCTAGATCTTGACGTCTTCAAGCCCACTTTGAAAACAGCTGGCTTTTTATGGGAACCTATCATAAAAGTATCACATGTTACCCTCATCTTATTTTTCTCACAGTGATCTAGAAAAGTGATTGTAAATACCACTTACTATATATGGTATTTTAATACAGCGTGTGATACCTCCTGGGTTTATTAAAGTGCATGGAGCCCAAACCAAACTATACCAGATCGTGAGGTGCCTTGAGTTCATCTTAGCAACCCCTCAGCTCTTGCTTCCCGCTGCTGTCACTATGCCTGCTCTCACCAGCTTTCTAACAGGCTTCTAATAGGCTGTCATCTGAACGATCAGATTTACCAGGATTGCTACAATTATGTACAAAGCAACACTGAGCAGGCTCAAGACAAAAGCCAAGAAGTTACTGTATCAATCAAGGGCATAAACTTTATAGTATGAGCTGAGTTTAAATTTAGGCAATTCAGGGGACGTTTCCCACATTTCCCTTCTTAGTCCTGTTTCAGTATTTGAGGTTGCTTTGTAAGTTGTATCTGTATATGTGAGAGTTCCCCTCTAGTTAGGATGGAGATCAGTGAAATGACTGGACACATGGCTATTTCACTAGAAAGTGGCACCCCAAGTTGATGCTGGGTATAACTGAAAATTCACAAGTGTGACCCTCATTGTCTGGAAGAGATAGTGGTGCTCTCTTGCCTGCTTAGAGTCAGCCTCTAATATTCAACCTCCAGAACCTGGGCCAGTAACAGCGTGGTTTGGTGGGAAGAGGAACCAAAAGCCTGAATTCAGGTCCAGCCTTCACCATCTCCAACTGTGCTTGGCAGTTCCCTTAACGCTTTGGCACCTCAGTTCAAGTTTCTCTTCTATAAAATGGGATAGTCGTGTTTGATACCCCTTTGGAAAAACCAAGTGAGGTAAGTCAATGCGTGAAGACATTCAGAAGGAAAACTGTGTTTGCTCTCCGCTCTTTTCATTCTTCCACATTCTGATCCCAATTCACAGCTCATAATCGAAGCAGAGTTACTGGAAGCTGCTCCAAAGACAGTGATGTAACTGGTTACATCTCTGGTTTTTCATACTGTCAGAACTGTGAGCCCTTGAGGCAATCAACGTTGGGCAAGGACACTGAGAAAAGAGATTAGGGACCAAACGGTTGGATGGTTGTTTGTGCAACTTCCTACCTTTGAGCAGAGTACTGTCCACAGCCATGGCGGTCACACGTCCGGATCTCGTTGGAAGACTTACCAGCACATATATTAGCCCATGGCCCTGCCAGTGCTAAAAAGGAGAAACATGAGAGCAGAGCTCCTGGCCTCAGACATTCCCTATCTCCATTTGCCTTATCAGTCACACAGTGGATCCTGTCAATTCTGTTTTCACTGTAGTTTTCCCCAAACTTTATGTATTTGTGGGAAGGTCGTCTTTCCAGAATTTTATATCCTGATTCAGATGTAAAATTGGCTTTTTCCCAGGCCACAGAATTCTGCCTTGTTATGTTAGAGCATTAGTGAATACAACTTTTTTTTTTGAATCGGAGTCTCACTCTGTTGCCAGGCTGGAGTGCAGTGGCATGATCTCAGCTGACTTCAACCTCCGCCTCTTGGGTTCAAGTGATTCTCCTGCCCCAGCCTCCTGAGTAGCTGGGACTACAGGTGCACACCACCACACCCAGCTAATTTTTGTATTTTTAGTAGAGACGAAGTTTCACTATGTTGGCCAGGATAGTCTCGATCTCTTGACCTCGTGATCTGCCCGCTTCAGCCTCCCAAAGTGCTGGGATAACAGTTATGAGCCACCGCACCCGGCTGAATGTGTTTCTTTATAAGCATTGGCCTCCATCATTATACCTTGCTTCAGATCCATTAGTAAATGGTATAAGTTGTGCTTTTCTATTTTTCTTTGCTCATTATCTGCCATGGGGATCATTATTTTTAGATTAAGCAAAAATAATAAAACAGCATGGCTCAGAAAATAATTTTAGAAATTGTAATTTTGAAATGGTTAGTTCTACTAATCAAATCCAAGCAAATGTTTGAATTAAAGGAAAAACGAACTCTGAACTAGCCAAGTTTGTTTAACACTAGATATCTCATACCTGCAAACATGGAAGGGAAGAGGGAGATTGTTAGAAATAATCTGAAATGTTAAACCAATTTAGCCTAGACTGAGATTAGGAGAGAAGGTGGGAAAAGGAGTAGAACCAATTATATGAAAAATTATGAAACATGGAAGGGCTGCTTTCTCAGCAGACTTGGCACAAACTTTGTTTTAGGCACAATTCGTCTCTTTAGTATAGTAAGCACTTGATAAATGTTCAATTGAATTAAACGTCCTGGATTTCTGGTGTTAATATTCACAGAGAGATACAGTAAGCACACTCAACCTTGCACTTTGAAACAAACAAGCAAAAGCAAGAGTCTGGTAATTTGACTATTGATTTTATTTAAAGACATTTTACTCTTCATTAATACCTATGCTGTGAAGAGAAGCTACAGAATATGGCCATTAAGCCTCTTGTTTAACATACTTTTAAAAGGTGGGTTTCAAAAGTTTTATGCCTTGGAGCCAAGCTCCAAATCAACACCTTGATCAAGATATAATCCCATCAGTTTGGCAACTAATATTTATCCTTGGGAATTGAGGCAAATAACAGACAGTGTAGTAATTTATGCATCTTTTCTCCTTCTGTGAGTATTAAGGGAGCATTCCCTTTGTCTTAACCCACACCAGTCTCTGTATTAGTATCTGTATCAGAATTTGATTTTGATCAAAATCAGAATCAAATTCTTATATCAACTTTTTATCATCTAGTTTTGTTCTAGTTAAGTCCCAGACCAAAACTGAAAGGCTTTGTAATGTCTTCTCAACCCACTATTATATTTCCCTCATTAAAGAACTGGAACATTCTATTTAAATTATTTAGAACATCATCAGGACCATGTATCATTCCTGTTTCATTTTTTAATAGCCAAATACACAAGTCTTTGTTGTGATCATGCTATTAATGACTTTTTAATCTTTTTAATCTTACCCTGAAATCAGTTTTTAAAAATTAACCAATATTCTAAAATTGCACTTTCGACTTACCGGTAGAAATCAGACCAGCCAAAAGGAGGACTTTGGTGGAAAACATCTGAGTTTACTTCCTTTATGTTTCTTCCTCCAATTAGAGTTGCCCCCACACTTTCTTTGAAGAATATTCAAGTTTGAATGAATACTTCCTAACTATTTAGCCTTAGAATCATGCATCTTTCATTTCTTTAGTGTGAGACACAAAAAGTATAAGAGAATGGAGCAAGTCAAGTTCTAATATTCCATGGATAGTTATTTGATTTGCAGGCAGGGCCTATGTAAAAGCCTTTGATCTGAAGAAGCAGCCAATTATATTGGAAACACTGACTAAATATTAACAGAAAATGATAAGGCTAGGTGCATATCGACAGTCTTCTGGGCTGTGGCTTGTAGGAGAATGTGCGTGCGAATGATGGAATATTTAGTGCTGTCTGCTAGGAGATCTTTCTTTTATTTCCTTTAGAGCACGTATTTCAGAAGAAAATTGATCATTAATAATGTATAGCCCTTCATAACATATTCCTTAATATATCCCTTAAGTGTTTTTGAATTATCAGTTTAATTATATTTTATCTGTGTAATATTTGCAAATAACTTTAATATTTTAATAAAATTGCCTGCACTTACCTTAAATATGTGATTTTTAAATGTTTTCTTGTTTGTGACATGATAAGTTAACACCATTAAAAGCATACATTAATAAAGGAAAAAAGATTAAGTGTAATATAGTCATTGATATGGTTTGGATCTGTGTCCCCACCCAAATCTGATGTTCGATTGTAATTCCCAGTGTTGGAGGTGGGGCCCGGAGAGAGGTGATTGAATTATGGGGCTAGAGTTCTCATGAATGGGTTAGCATCATCCCCTTGGTGCTGTTGCCATGATAGTGAGTGAGTGAGTTATGGTGAGATCTGGTTGTTTAAAAGTGTGTAGCACCTCCCCTGTTCTCACTTCCTTTTGCTTTAGCCATGTAAGACGTGCCTGCTTCCCCTTTGCCTTCTGCCATGATTTTCAGTTTCCTGAGACCTCTCAAGAAGCTACCATGCTTTCTGTACAGCCTGCAGAACTGTGAACCAATTAAACCTCTTTTCTTTATATATCACCCAATCTCAGGTATTTCTTTATAGCAATGCAAGAACAGACTAATACAGTCATACAATGGAGTAAAATATAACAATTTAAATGAAAACAATCTATATATATTAACACAGCTAGATCTCTAGATATGTGGTTGAATTTAAAAGCTATTTTTAGAATTATATAGAGAGAGTATACTATTTATGATATTTAAAATCTGAAAACAAAGAAGAATATTAATATTAGTGAATGCTGTATATATAATTAAAATATGTACAGACTACCTTTAAGATAGTAATTACTTCTGGATAGTGAGAGAAATAAAACTGTGGAAGGATATACAGAGTACATAAATTCTAAAATATTTTATTTCTAAAAAAAATCAGAAGCAAATATGTAAAAATATTAATTTGTTAATTATTGGAGATAGACACATGGATGTTATGTTACCCTGAACTTTTCTGGGACTTAAATTTTCAGTGTGTTTCAAATATACGTTCACAACTCCTTTTTAGCTTACTATTAGATGAGCACCTGGAATTTTCTATGGAAGCTTCCCCATTTAAATTTAGTGTCAGTAGCTGTGGGAGATTGGGATTGTGGCCCCCGTTCTTCACCCTCTCTGCGTCCACACCTTTGCCATGTCTCATGGGGGTAAAGGGAACTTTCCTCATCCTTGATTTTGGGTTTAACTGTGTGGCTTTGACCACTAAGATGAGGCAGAAGTGGCAGTGGGTCAGGAAAGCCTGGGTCCTCTGGGGCCTTAGTCTTTGCAAACTCCTTCTGTGTTTTTGCATTGCTGTGAGGCAGATGATCCTGCTGCCCTGGGAAGGGAATGGACGCCATGCAGAGCATGGTTGCCCCCGCAAAACCCAGCCTAGTACACCCTATAAATGTGTGGGCTTACCTGGCTGTCATTGGAAACCACTGAGTTTTCATGTGGTATGTTACACAACAATAACTAAACGATGCCAATGAGATTATGCACCTAATTGTTTTTGCTTTACACACAGCCTTTCAAGGAGGCATCTAATATATACAACATAGAATGCCAATGCATTGAAAACATCAAGGATCTGAGTCAATGTACTAAAAGAATAGATAAGTGAAACAAAACAGATGATTCAGAAATAGACACAAATATATACAGCATATAGTACACAATAGAAGTCATACTTTAAATGGTTAGAGAAAATATAAGTCATTCTATGAACAGTATTGAGACAGCATCTGGCAAGAAATAAAAGTGCAGTCTAGGTATGGTGGCTCATGCCTGTAATCTTAGCACTTTGTGAGGGCAGTGCAGGAGGATCACTTGAGGCCAGGAGTTTGAGACAAGCCTGGGCAACACAGCAAAACCCCATCTCTGCAAACAATTTTTAAAAATTAGCCAGGCATGGTGCATATGTCCATAGTCCTAGCTACTCAGGAGACTGAGGCAGAAGGAATATTTGAACCCAGGAGTTTGAAGTTACAGTGATCATGCCACTGCACTCCACCCTGGGTAAGATAGTGAGACCCTGTCTCAAAATAAATAAATAAATAAATAAATAAATAAATAAATAAATAAAGTTCAATCCATATCAAAGTGAACCAAACATTTGTATGGAAAAGGGGAGAAAGAGGGAGGAGGAGGAAAGAAAGAAAAGAAATGAACTGAAACCGTAGAAATACTAGGAGAAATTATGAATGCTTTTTAATGGTATGGATTAGACTTTTCAAAGAATGTTAAAAAAACCCAGAAGCTATAAAGAAAATATTTGATAAATGCGTTATAACAGTTAAAAAAACAAAACAAAACAAAACAAAACAAAAAACCTTCTACAAAGCAAGCAGTATCCTGATCAGAGTCAAAAGACAATAATCTGAAAAAATATCTATAACCCATATGATATGACAGATAAGGAACTCATCTCCCTAATATACAAAGAATTCTTAAAAAAAATAAAAGGCGTAAACAAATTGATAGAAAAATGGGCAAAAGCCGGAATGGTGGCTCATGCCTGTAATCCCAACACTTTGTGAGGCCGAGGCGGGTGGATCGCGAGGTCAGGAACTCGAGACCATCCTGGCCAACATGGCGAAACCCCATCTCTACTAAAAATGCAAAAATTAGCTGGACTTGGTGACAGATGCCTGTAATCCCAGCTTCTCGGGAGGTTGAGGCAGGAGAATCGCTTGAACCCAGGAGGCGGAGTTTGCAGTGAGCTGAGATTGTGCCGTTGCACTGCAGCCTGGGTGACAAGAGCAAGACTCTGTCTCAAAAGAAAAAAGAAAAGAAAAATGGGCAAAAGATAGCAACAGACTTTCATAAAAGAAAAAATACAGATTACCAATATATATTTGAAAATATGATCCACTTCACTTAAAATTAACAATTGTAAACCAGAATGAGGTATAGTTTTTTACCCATCAAATTGACAGAGTATGTAGAAACATTTATTGAAAAGTGTAAGTTGGTTTAACCTCTTTAGAGGACAATTTTGCAATACCCCTCACATTTTTAAATGCACAAAACCTTTGCTCCAGCAATGCTATTGTTTTCCTACCTGTGGCCTGCTTTCCTCCCATTTTCCCTGCCTTCTGTATTAACTGTTTCCAATGCATATTCTCCTCTGAAGCCAGTGCCATCCTCAAAACTGCGGAAGAGATGGTAGGAGACTGTTTTGAAACCCGTAATGGGATAGGACCTGAGCAATGTCATCAGTGCTGAAAAACTGATGAGAAACTTTGTAATGGATGGATCAGGCTGACGATACCTAGTCAAT